ACTGAGTGGCCGCGATCAGCTCCGGTGGCCGTAACACAGGCTTTAATGCGCCGCAGACGCGTGCCGTGATGCGCAGATCAGCTCTAGTCTCTAACGTCACTGAATCTGCTGTTGAAAATGAACCATCCATTCATCATATCATCATGCAAAACTAAGAATTAGAATCATTGTAATGTGACAATCAAATATAGGTGCGGGTGGGTGGCAGGCAGATAATTTATTTGAAGCAGCGGACTCGGGTGAAGTTTGAGCTCATCCGCGCATCTCTACACTACACTGACCTGGGTCGCCAGTAGCAAACAATGGAGCGATAGAGACAGGAGACAGATATATCTGCGACAGGCTCATATCGGCCGATAATATTGGCAAAACGATATATCGGTTGGGCTCTAATTATTACAGTTTAAATAATAGTTCACCCAAAAATTAAAATTGCCATCATTTACTCACCCTCATGTCGTTCCAAACGTGATTTTTTTTTTCTTATGTTGAGCACAAAACAAAGATATTTTGAAGAATTTTGAAGAACCAAACAGTTGTTAGTTCCCATTGACTTAGTAGGGAAAGAAATACTATGGAAGTCAATGGGGACCATCAACTTTCTGAGTACCAGCATTCTTCAAAATATCTTCTTTTATGTTTAACATAAAAAAGAAACTCATACAGGTTTGGAACAACATGAGGGTGAGTAAATGATGACAGAATTTTCGTTTTTGAGTGAACTAGCCTATCCCTTTAAAATAACTGTTTTCTATTTTAGCCTATTTTAAAGCTGTATTTTTAAAATACAGCAACCATTTCAGTCATGAGTCACATGATTCTTCAGAAATCATTATATAGTTGTGCTGATTTGGTGTTCAATATAATAGAATCGTTTATATTGTAAAATATTATTTCAATTTTATAAAATGTGTATTTTAATATATGTTAAGATTAAAAAAAAAAAGCTTTCAGTAGACAAAACTCCATAAAGCAGTTTTTTATAAATTGTGAGTGAAAATTATACAATCTACGACCTTTATATGCTGCATGCTATTGTAAAGACTGTAAGTCTATCTCTTGCAGCCTCGTTTTCATCTGGCATCTAACCTGAATAAGATCTAATTTGCTGCTCAAGAAACATTTCTTATGATACAGTTTTTCTTCCAGGATTCTATGATGAAGTTCAAAAGAACAACATTTATTTGAAATAGAAATCCTTTGTACATTATAAATGTCTTTACTGTTATTTTTTTAATGAACTGTAGTGTGTGTGTGTTTATATATATATATATATATATATATATACAGTATATATATATATATATATATATATATATAT